TTATTTTATTGTTATTCTTTTTTAATCCTCACTTGGGGATACGTTAATTGATTTGAGATAGAGAAAGAGAGAAACATCAATCAGTTACCTCCCTTAAGAACCCCAAGTGAGGATCAAACCTGCAATCCAGGTATATGCCCTGACTGGGAATCTAACTGCAACCTTTCTTGGGGTATGGGAAGATGTTCCAACCAACAGAGCCACCTGGCCAGGGCAAAGAATAAAGATTTTAAATGGCAGTAAGCTTTAGATTGGAAAGATTGCAAGCCAAAAAGACAGTAAAATAGTATCCTTAATACTGAAAGAAAAGAGCAGTCAACCTAGAATTCTCTATCTAGAGAAAAATACCTTCCAAAATGAAAATCAAATATGCACTCTGCAGATATGTAAAAGCAGAAAGGATTTACTGCCAGAAGACTCATGCATTATAAGAAATGTAAGAGAGCTCTTTCTCAGTTATGGGGGAGCCAAAATGCTGGTAGCCTGGAGCTGGGTTTATTGCAAAACTTATGTGACTCCATGGAGACTCTTCAAGAAATCCCACCTCGACCAATAGCTGAAGCTGATGGGCAAGTATGGGCTTTTGAACAAATGGGAAGTCTGGAGGGTCAAATTTACCCTGGCCAAGATCTGCAAGGCTGCCTAGGAGCTGCTGACTTACGCTGGATGAGAAAGCCCCACAGTGTGTTTGAAGGCAAGGCCCTGTTGTGATGCCTTGTCCGCATAGGGTGCTGGGACGAGGCAAAGATGAAGCCGAATTATATCTTGGATCCGATGATCAAGGATTCTCGGAGAGGCACCTACAGACATAGGTATTCAAGCTGGGCTTAGCCAAATCCATCCACCACATCCACGTGCTGATTTGCCAGCTCCACATACAGGTCTGTGAGGAGGTGGTAAACATCCTGCCCTTCACTGTTTGCCTGGACTCCCTGAAGTACTTCGACTTCTCCCTTCCCTCCTCATATGGGGGTGGCCAAGAAGGGCCAGACAGAGTAGGGCTGGAACCAGAGATGACAAGGAGGATTAAGCCTACGCATTTCCCCTGGATTGGTGGAGTATCTAGTTTTCCAGTCAAATAATAAAACAGATCAACACCTAAAAAAATGAAGGAAGGGAGGAAGGGAAGAAGGGAGGAAAGGAGGGAGGGAGGGAGAAAGGGAGGGAGGGAAGGAGAAAGAGAGGGAGGGAGGGAGAAAGGGAGGGAGGGAGGGAGGGAGGAATAAAGGAAGGTAAAAGAAGAAGGGCCTTCAAGACAGAAAGGAAATTATACCAGATGAAAATCTGGATCTATACAAAGAAATGAAGAGCATTGGAACTGGTAAAAATGTGAGTAAATATAAACATTTTCTTACTTTTTCAATGTCTTTAAAAGGCAAATAACTCTAAAGCAAGAATAGCAACAACGTATTTTGGGGTTTATAACATGAGTATATAAAATGTGTGATTATAAAGGTTAGGATGAGGAAAATAAAAGTATTACTATGTATACTATGTAAAGTTCTCATACTATAGATAAAGTGGTACAATATTACTTGAATGTATACTGTAATAAGTTAAAGATATATACCATAAACTCCAAAGCAATTGCTAAGAAAAAAAAGGACAGAATAGAGAACAAAGAGCAAGATGACAGATTTGAATCTGCCCACATCAATAATCATGTGAAATATAAATGATCTAAATGCCCAAAATAAAAGCAAAGATCATCAGACTAGATTAAAATGCAAGATCCCACTATATGCTGCCCATAAGAAATCCATCTCAAATATAATGACCCAGCAGATTAAAAGTAAAAATATATCATGCTAACACCAAAGTTGGAGTAGTTATATTAATATCAGAAAATGTAGATTTCAGAGCAAAGAATAATACCATAGATAAAGAAGGTCATTTTGTAATGATAAAGGAGCCAATTCATCAAAAGGACATAACAATCCTAAAAGTATCTAATAGGTCTTCAAAAAATATTAAGTAAAAAAGTGATAGAAAAATGTAAGGAAAAAATAGACAAATTCACAATTATTCCTGGAGATTTCAACATCGCCTTTTCAATAATTGATAGGTAGATAAAGCTCAGTAAAGATAAAGAAATTTTAAACAACACGATCAGCCAACTTGATCTAACATTTATACAATACACTACATAACAGACTACACATTATTTTCGTGTGCACAGAAAACACAACAATTCTTTTTCTGGGCCACAAAAAATCTCAATAAATTTAAAATAATTCCAGTTATACAGAGTATATTCTCTGACCATGACTGATTTAAATTAGAAATCAATAACAGAAAGATATCTGGAAAATCCCTGCATATTTGGTAACTAACCACTTCTAAAATTTAATGGAAAACCCTGGCAGTTTTGAAGTAATGGTACATTTGTCTTTTCTAGATTATAACTATTATATAAGCAACATGTTTTTGCCTTTGCTGCCAAAAGCTTAGAGATTAAGCAAAAAAAAGAGTAAACAGAATAATCATATCTATTCTTAAATCACTCATTCACTTTACTCAGTTTGAACATCTAGTATGTTATATAATTTAGATATACAAAGTGAATACATAGTCTTTGGTCTAAAGCTCAGTTTTATGGTCAGTTCTAATAAATTGTATATTTGTAAATCCCTACTGTTTGTATTTATTGCAAGTCTCTACTTTAACACCTCTTTTAAAATGTGTCTTCTTTACAATTGCTTTTAATCCCTTCCAGAAACAACTATAAGACCCTTGCCATAACCAACTAAATAGTCATACACAAGAATTTTAATATTAGCCTAGGTTAAATATAACTCAAAATGTATGAAATTATGAATAATTATAATGCACATGCAAAAGCCAAATGAGTTTCTTTCTTTCTTTTTTTTTTTTTTTGTGGTTGATTTATAGCAGTGCATCCCTCTCCTGGACTAAATTACCTAAAGTTGACTGTCTTTAAATATATCATTGGCAATGATCTAAAAGTTTTGATAACGAACAACTCAACAGAAAGGAAAACACTGCTGAAGTGGTGGAGGTGTCCCTGAGTGGAGAGGGAGCTCAGGAGGTATGGAAATGACAAGCCAATGCCAGAATGGTGTGTCAGAGCTGCACCCAGTGAACTTGGGAGGACTGTGATGGAGACTGGCTCTAGAGTACCTACCCTGAGTACTCTCTGAACCTCAGGTTCCTCCTCTGTAAATGCTGGGCTTCAACAGATGATCTCTAAGATCTCTTTCGGTTCTATATTTCTGTGAATCTATTTGGTTGGAGTATCAAAGAAAATATCCTGAGAGAGAGCTTTGTTCTCTCTCTTCACCAAAAGCTACTTGAGTTATTAAAAGTAGACCTTATAATGTCACATAACACATTCCAAGTGTTGTGCTAGGCGCAGTATGGAAAAGAACTCTGGACTACACTGACTCTTAACTTTGGCTTAGCCTTACTAAAAGGTATAATCAATTGCAATTTACTTGTTCAGATTCCTAGTTTCCTAGATAAAAGCTGCAGAAATATATACTACACAAGTGTAAGGGAAAGAGACTGAGTTCTCACTGGGGAAAGCTAAGAAAGCATCATGGAGCAGATGAACCGTGAAAGGATAGATGGAAATCAGAAATAGGAGCCATGGTAATACTTGTATAAAGACTTCCTGGTGAGGCAGAGGACATACACTTTGGAATCAAATGGATTTTGTTTTAAATCCTGGCCCTGGCTGTTTCAACTGTGTTACCTTGAACAATTCAGCTTCCTGAGTCTCAGTCTTCTCAAATCTAAGATGCATATGCTTACTTTGCAGTTTTTAAGGATTAAAGATAACAGTTATAAGACATCTAGCATAGTAACTGGCATATAGTAGTCACACAAAAAAATAAAAGCTTTCATTATTAAGGGCCCAGAGACCAGGGAATCAGGATGTGACAAAAGGTCACAGACAAGTAATGCAGAGGATGTGGCTCTAAATGCAGGAAGGGGCTGATCTGTAGAGGACCTGAACAGTTTGTGGGGTGAGAAATAAAGCAGGCCTAGCCAGTTTGCTAGCTAAGAACCCAGGGTTAGAGGGTTAGAAGTGGGGTTCTGTGGAACTTGAGGTAGCCTAGGATTTGGTCAGAGGTACAATTCAAGGGAGCCCATTGGGGAAATCTCAAATAAAATGAGGGGAAGATAAGCACCAACAGCCAATGCCAGAGATTAAACCCAAAGTGGCATGGCAAGACTGGGATGTTGAATATGGCAGGGATGAGGTGTGAATTACAAAGAGGATGGCAACAAGTGAAGAGTATCTTAGGTAAGTGCCTAGAACATCCATTTGAGTTATGTGCAGCTTGACTATCGGTGGGTGTGGTGCTGGGGTATTTCAGAATTTGGTAAAGGGCCAGACATCTTAGGTTTTACAGTGCCCACTATGGGGGATGGGGGCGGGCACCAACACAGTGACATGGTCAGATCTGTGATTCAATTTCTCAACTCTGGTGGCAGAGTAAAGGGGCAGGGGAGAAGAAAAGGATCAAGGTACAGCGATAGAGTTGTTATAAAAAGTCAGGTAGAAGGTAGGTGAGCCTGATTTGATGCCAAGGCGATGAGGATGAGAAGAGAAGGAAAGTGACAAACGGATGCATTTCAGGGAAAATTTCTGACAGGATACGGAGACATACAAGATGTCGCAGACAAAAGAAAAAAAAAGTAGTGAATAACTACTAAGGTTTTGAGCTTCCAGACCAGGAAGACAGTGATGCCACTTAGCAGGAAACACAGAAAGAAGTGTAGGCAACAGTGATGAGAAGACTCATAATGCAAGGTGCTCACACCTGGCCATTCGAGGGCATACTCAAAAATTGTCAGGGGCTTGAATGTCACAGCAGTGCCACAGCTTCCACCACCCACCAGCCAAACCTGAAACTGTTTCATTTCCTTTTCATGGCTGCCTGTGACTCAAGCTAGACATGGAGAAGTGGGAGGGGGTGGGTGTAGAAGCATCAAGAATATCATGGATTTCCTGAAATTTATCCAGCACTTACCTTTACAGCTAGTATTTTCCCACTTGGGACATGATATGCTCTATGGGAAGAAAAAAAATAACAAAATTACTTGGGATTACTAAACAACCTAGAAAATCGTTAAGGACATAAATGTAAATCTGAATATTTCTGCAGCAATGGGATATATGATACTTTCAAAGAATACTAATAACATTAGTAATTTACATTTCTATTGAGCTTAATGGTTTACAAAATGATTCATTATACATTACCTTAAAATAACCCTCTAAGGTAATGCTGGCATTATTATCCTCATTTTATAGATGAGAACTTTGAAGCATAGAGAAGTTAAGTATTTTGCCTAATGGTACAAAGGCAGTTAGTGGCAGAACTATACTTCAAATCCAGGTCTTCTGGCTCTAGATCCTTTACCACATACTGTCGGTGTCAGTGGGAGTGTGTGCAGGGGTCTTCTATAGCTCTATGCTAAGCACTAGACAAAGCCATATAAAACGGGACGTTTTCTTTTTGTTTATTTCAATTATATACACCGACCAACTACAATCCCACATTTCATCAAAATAACTTCAAAACACACAGAATTTGCTATTGCTTAAGGTATAAATTCATATAATTAGTCACAGATTTATAAGATTCAAGTATATTCCCCATCTTTTCCTAAAATTGGCATCTCTCAATATTAAAAAAGCTTCAGGAGACAGACAAGCTCAAATGATGGGATACAGTGAAAGGACTACAATTTAAGTCAAGAAATATGAACACATTCATTTATAAAAAAAGATTAAGGCATGTAGAAATAAATAGCATTATCTTATCAAGACCTTTGCGTTTAAATGAAATGTGGCCTTTCATACATACATGTATTGCAAGGACCATACATCTTACTGTTATCCAGAAACAATCTGCTTTATATGAAAAATTCAAAATGACGCACACAACATGAACAAGCACTGTTACTGCAAGTCCATACGAGTATACAGAAACAAATTATTTTGGAAGAATTAAAATCTTGCTCCATGGAGGATTCTGCACATGAGCCAAGAGCTGAATGTCCTTCCTCTCACCTGGCTAGCGTTAAGATGTGAGTGGGGCAGGGAACATGGGGAGGAATGTAATTTAGCTTGCCAGGAATTCCTCGTCCTCAGCTGCCAAGTTGCAAAATTTACCAGGTTTCCAACTTTTATTTGGTAATGACCCAGTAGTAAAAATTGCTCATTTATTTTATTAGTTTTTGGAGATATCATTGACATTTCACATATTAATTTCAGGTATATAACAATGATTTGATATTTGTATATGTATAATGCAAATGAATCACCCCAATATGTCTAGTTAACATCCATTGCCATACGTGATTCCAAAAAACACTGCCTCTTTCTTAAAACAAAAAAAAAAAATTCATTCCTCTAATATCAAATATCATTTTCTGTTGTTTTGACAAAAGTATTTGTGTGGTTGCTCTGACAAATTTTTTAAACAGCTTGGTTGAGGAATAATTATGTATGATAAAGTTCACTTTTAAGTATATAATTCAATGATTTCTAGTAAATTTACAGAACTGTGCAATCACTGACATATTTTTAAAGTGACAGACTTACAGATATAATTTAGTTATTAAGAACCTACACGGACTTATGACTTTTCATATATATAATGTTACAAATTCAGGTAAGACTAGGAAAAACATGTAAATGTATGTACGTATCCATATGAGTGTTATAAACCATTCTGTTTTTCCTTCTTGAGTGGACAAAGGTTGAGCCAATTTTGGAAGGTAAACATAGCCTTTATTTTATCAATTATAGAGAAATTATGTTTCATTTAAAGGAAAAGCAAGATTGTAAAATTTGGCAATTGTTCACTTTACCAAAGAGTTATTTAATCTGTAAAAGTATTTACAGACTTTCTCTAAATATCAACCTCCCTAGTATAACACTTAAATTAAGTTTACAACACTTAAGTTATTTAAAATTGTTTATACTTTATATAAAGTGATATTTTATAAGTGGAACTTCTTTATTATAAAGGGTTTAGAAAAAATTACCACTTACTTTACTATCTATGTAGTTTCTAAATGAAACTACATTTTCAGGTTATGATTTGATTAATTATGTATCTGAATTCATATAATACACTGATATATAAAGACATATACTGTATTTTCCTCAATCTCTGACAGAGAAGTTGTTGGACTAAACTAATTTGAAATGCAATTTGAAGGAATGTAGTAACTTTATTCCATGTAAATATAGGTAATATAATATGTAAAATTTAATAATGATATATTATTTTTCCTCTTGTATACCACAAACTCCTCCAATTTCAACTTTTAAAAATACTCTATATTAGAATCATTAACGAAAGACTCTAATGTGAAGACTAACAGTTGAATGCATACAGAAGGATTCAAAAGTTATAGAAAGAACAGTGTTACTTTGGACAACAACCCAGACTTTTGAGATCAACAGCAGTGGTAAGTAAATGATCAGTAGACATTAGAATATATATACACCATACTGAACAGTTTGGTAACTTAATTAGCTTGTCAAGAAAGCCGATCTCTTTTCCAAAAGAAAGGTCTCCTATTTCCAAGTGAAAGACAAGGGGATGCTTGATGATTTAATTATGATGCACGCTAATTCATCCATGGAAGTTTGGGTTCGATTTCGAGCAATAAAGATCCTGTGTGGTTTGGTTTACAGTGCAATGACAGTACCGATTTAACATTTAATCATCAAGGAGAAGTGGATGACAACGGCAATGCCAGGTATGAGTGGAGTGTGCCCCTTATCTTTGCAAATGGCATTTCACCTGGAGAAAAGGAATTTGTTTACTTTCAACGGATACTGCATCTCAATAGTCTTGACCTTCCGCAACACATTAACTGTAAAGTGATTAATGAAGTTTGAACGGAGGCTCTGGTTACACCAAAAGACAACTACACACCTCTGCATTCTTTTAATTAACAGCTAACACTTCAAATTAGTTTGTTGTTGCCACAGTAATTACCTGTTCCAGTGAGTGCATGGAGAAAGCATTTTATGAGATATTTTTAGTGCTTAGTCTTGAGTGTTCCATTTTGCTTGCGACCAGCACAGACCTTCAGGGAATATTCCCAGCTCTTAAAACTAAGCACACAACATATGCACTTTAGGATGGCAAAAGCTAGTACCTTGGTATAATTTTTTTGAGTATTTAAAATAAAAAAGAGCCCAGCAAAAGAGAAGAACACTCATTATCCATACTTTCCTTTTTCATTTGGAACAACAGGTTCCAGATGACTGAAAAAAAAAAGGTGATGTCAATCTTTAATTCTAGTACAGTATAGAATCACAAAATTTACTGATCTAGTAGGAAATATAGAGTCTTGTCTGGTCTCATCTTTTCCTTTTACAATTGAAACACCTAAAACCCAGGTTAAAAAACTTCTCTAAACTCACACACTCGTCAATGGCAAAGCCAAGACTGGAATTGTGGGAGAATATACATATTCTAGTACCTAAAATGATATAGTAATGTTCAAGTTTTCTTCACTGTGTTCTAAAACAGGTGCTGGCCTATTTCAATCAGGCTAAGGATCATCACATCTGAACCTCCCCAGGCACTGAAATACCCTGCAGTCACCGCTGACCTATCTTGGCAGGCAGAGTGAAGAGTGTAGGCTCTGAAGTCACTGCTTGGGTTCTGATCCCAGCTCTGCCACTTCTTAACAGTGTGAACCTGGACTGTTAGTAAACCTTACTGTGTCTCAGTTGTCTCAAGTCTAGAATGGGGAAATTGGTTCCCGCTTTACAGAGCCATGAGGATTCAGTGAGGTAACATATGTAAAGCATTGAAGACAGGGCTGGCATGCACTATATTTTAAGAAACTGGAAATTTTTATGGTAGCTATGTGTTTTGAGAGTAGAACCTACTAAAACTGATTAAAATAGCAAGTTAGCTTTAACAGTGACAACTGGCAAATGCTGTAATATATCATTTATTAAGAAAAAACAGTAGAATTACTTCATGTTGAACCAACTTTGAAGACAAAAAATTAAAATAACCATCTGATATGCTATGGTTATACCATGATTCAAATTCTAGATTTCTTACCGTTTTTCTCTTGCCCACTACTGTAATTTATTTATACTACAGAGAGATATGGTCAGTGACATATTCAGGTGTTCATTTCAGCAGAAACACCATCTGACAATTACCATGGCTAAATGAGAAGCTTACATTTTTCATTCTTCTTGGGTTAAATACATAGGAAAAATATAAGCTACCCTAAAAAGAATCCACATACCTTCATTTACTATACAGGTGACCCTCAAATGGCATGGAGGTTAGGGGTACCTACCCCTCCTACTAGAGTCGAAAATCCATGTATAACTTTTGATTTCCCCAAAACTTAACTACCCTCAGTATCCAAGGGAGGCTGGTCCAAAATCCATGGATGCTCAAGTCCCATATATATGATGGCACAGAATAATGCATCCAGTCAGTCTTCCACGTCTTAGACTCCCTTTTGTGGATTAAATATGGTACAGATATTTATTGAGGAAAAAACCTACATATAAGTAGACCCACACAGTTCAAACTAGTGTTGTTCAAGGGTCAACTCGTAAACTGTAAAATTTTGAGGCCTCTTCTAGTCTTCAGATTTTAGTAGCTCTGTTATAACTCCTAGAATACAATGGAGAAATAGTGTTTGAGCCTGTCTCCCATACTTGGCACAACTACCATGTCTTGATAATCTGTGTGTTCTTTATGCTTTGTACAAGTCCTGGCCCATGGTAGTTGCTCTCTATTTAATAAACATTCAACAAATAATTACTTTTCCTAGATGAAACAGATATGTATCACTTGGATGGTATTTCACAAAGAAATTCTATGTACATTTAATTAATTCCATAATCCTGTGAACAGGAGTTATTTCCTCCTCAGCTTTATTGTGATATAATTGATACGTAACATGAGTAGGAGTTATTATTATCATCCCCATTAGAGTATTGATTCTAACTGCTGAATCAAAAGTCCTTACAAGGATTTCATGATCTAGATCTTGGTCACCTC